CCACTGATGGCCCTGACGAGGAACGGAGGAAGGGGAGACAGACGGGAGCGAGCGGCGCCCAGGGGCCGGGGGCAGTGGGCCGGGCCAGCGGGACGCACGCTCCGAGGGCAGATGGGAAAGCAAGCGGCGAAGGTGAGGAAGGAAGCTGTCAAGAGAGCGTGAGGGCCGGAAAGACAGGGCAGCACAGAACAGACTTCAACGTCCGTGTTTGTGTGTTTGTGAAGTAAGGTGAAACAGAGAGGGCGGGACACGAAGGGCCTCGCGAGAGAGCAAAGCAGTTTCAAGCGGGTGGGACAGGAAAGGGGTCCCTCAGGGGACGGCCAGGTGGACACAGCGTAGGACGCAGGGCGCCCTGCAGGCGTGAAAGACGTGAGGAAAGAACAAATCACTTGGGTGGTGCAGGGGAGAAGGGTGGAAATGCGTGCCAGGGCACGATCAGGGGACACCAGTGTGGGGTGCGGGCGGCGGGCGCTCTGGGAGGAGGGCGGGGCTCCCGAGAGGAGGGAGGCTGGCCGGGGGGGGGGGGGCAGCACACGGCTGTGCTGATGGCCGGACGAGGTGGCGGTCCACGGGGTGGCAGGGTGCGTGGTGGGGCCTCTCCCATCACGTGCTCCAACGCGTCAAAACGACAGCTGTCCTCGGGGGAGGAGGGGCGCTGGCACAGAGCTGTCTGGGCCGCAGGCCTTCCTCCCTCACAGGGCCCTTGTCTCCTGCACGTCCCCTCGTTGGCTCTCCAGCTCCGTCACCCTTCCTCTGTATCACCCCCTAACGTCAGGAGGGGGAAAGCTGTCACTGAACACGTCTAAGTTTTAAAACTGTGTTTTAGGGGCGCCTGGGGGGCTCAGTCGGTTGAGCATCCCACTTTCGCTCAGGTCAGGATCTCGCGGTTCATGGGTTCGAGCCCCGCGTCGGGCTCTGTGCTGACAGCTCAGAGCCTGGAGCCTGTTTTCAGATTCTGTGTCTCCCTCTCTCTCTGACCCTCCCCTGCTCACGCTGTCTCTCTCTCAGAAATAAATAAAACATTTAAAAAAAAGGTAAATAAAAAAATAAAGTTGTTTTAGCTCAGAAATTTCCAAATGTAGCCCTCGCACGTTAGCAGCTCCCTGCCCATCCCGAGCGCCTTGCCTTTTCTGTGGGCCCCCTTTCAGTCTCCCTCCCCACGACCTGGGCAGAGGAACCCCAGGAAACCTGCTTGGCTGAGACTGGACACGTCCAAGGTGTGCTCGCAAACGTGAACTTCAGAAAACACGGAGGGTCCGCACGGGGGTGGGCCGGAGGCCTGGCAGGATGCAAAGGACGGAAGGCGGGCAGCAGACCTCCACCCTGAGGTGTGCCTCGCGTCCCTCACCCGCCAAGGTGCTACAAGTAGTCATAGGTGACTCCTCAACTCAGGCCCTTAAAACACCACAACCACCCGCAGAAACAAACCCCACCTCCATTCTGCTTGGCTGCCGTGTAATTCAAATGGACTGAGAACGGGACTTCTCAATGCTACCCGATCCCGAAACAAATGATGCACATTCACTGAATCAAGCACATTCACTGAATCAATCAAGTGCAATTACCATACCTGATACCCACCACAGAGCAACTTACACTAGTCAATGTCCTCGAAAACCACTTCCCCGAGGTACTGAATTACACTAACGCTCTCGGTTAACAGACAAGAGCATCTGTCCCCGGAGTGGCATCTTCCCCGCAGTCTGCTCCCCACGGGACCCCCGGAGAGCAGGGCTTGGATCCACCCCTCGATAACACAGGCCGACCACCTGCCCAACAGCCCCGTCGCCGCCACGTGCTGTGGCTGCCGCAGCGCACGCTGTGGGGTTTGCTCTCGAAACCATTTCCCTTGAAGCTAAATGTTCAGAAGGGAAATGTTCTTGCCTTAACTATACACCTCTCCCCTCGCTCTGAATGAGCTACAAAGACTACGTCCACAGTAAGTCTATTATACTCCTGTTTATCCTCGATGAAGAAAATGGTAAAAAAGCAAGGTAAATGAGGATTTTATGAAGTACAATTTCAACTTGCAAAGTGGCAAATGACACCGGACAGAAATTCACTAAAGACTTAAAACGTTCTAGCTTCTAACTCCCAAAGGAGAACATATTTCATTTTCAGATTAAAAAATATTTTCAGGGGCACCCTGGGGGGCTCAGTTGGTTGAGCGTCCAACTTCAGTTCAGGTTCATGAGTTCAAGCCCTGTGTCGGCTCGCTGCTGTCAGGCACAGCCCACCTCTGCCCTCCTCCACTTGTGCTCTCCCGAAAAATAAATATTAAAAACTTTTTTTTTCAGGGCGCCTGAGTAGCTCAGTTGGTTGAGTGTCCAACTCTTCATTTCAGCTCAGGTCATGATCTCCCAGTGGGATCGGGCCCCGAATCAGGCTCTGTGATGGCGGGAAGGAGACCTCTTAAGATTCTCTCTCCTTCTCTCTGTCCCTTCATTGCTTGGGCACGTGCCCGCACACACTCTCTCTCTCAAAATAAATAAACTTAAAAGAATATCTATTCTGTCACAACCCAAAAGAAAATGATGTCTTGCCTCAAAATAAAAGCAATTTAAAAATGTGTTAATCTTAAAAGACTGGGAGGTGGTTCAGAATTTGAATTTCAGATGCTCCTGTAAATCCATGCACAAACACGAGCAGGACAAACTTTACCATTTTGGAAACAGTAAAGTAAAGAAAACAAGGAAGTTGATCACTAGAAGGTCAAAACTCCTCGTTATTAATCTAGTACCTGCAGAAGGCACCAAAATACCTTTGCCCACACAATCAAGATTGCACGGAGCTTTTAAGATAGTACTTCATGTCTTAGACGACAGAATGCGCCCCTCGTGGCTCCTGGCCCTCCCACCCCAGCGGTGCCACTGGGCTCTGCTGCTCCCCCGCCCACGTCTCCCCCAGCTCCCCCAACTGAAAAGCATCAGGCCACCACCCCTGGGCCAATAACCTACATCCTGGCTCCAGGGCAGAGATGACCAGATCAAGTCTGTCCAGAATCTGAACTAGGAAACAAGACCAGAATCGGTCACTTAGAAACCGAAAGAACACAACCAGAAATGCCACCAAGTTGAACTGGGGCCTGCGGGGCTTTGAATAGCTAAGAAAGCACGTGAGCTAGGTCACAGGGGAGGGAAAACCAAGAGCAAGCAAAGCAGCCAGCTGGTAGGAGAAAGGGGGCTCCCGCGTCGGCCGCATGCCGAGCCCCACGGGGTGGAGTTCCAGGGACAAGTGCCGCGGACGGACCTTCCCCCGAGCTGCCCGGAACCGCCCTCCAATGCCATGTCCTGGGAGCTCAGCCCATCCAACTCGGGCTCCTGCATTTCTGGGCCGTTCACATCAGCCCCCGTGTGTCCCCATGAACAATGGCCCTTCTCAAGCTCTCTGGCGGGGGTCTGTGCTGCACACACAACCAGAAGCCAAAACGACACTCAGGACATGCAAACAGGAAACGAGCCCTTCTGATACGCCGTTCACACAAAATACTCAACAGTCCTGGTGTTTGAGGGACACACGGGGGCGCCTGGCTGGCTCTGTCAGCAGAGCACGAGACTCTTGACCTTGGGGCTGGGAGTTGGAGCTCCGTGTTGGGTGTAGAGAGGACGTAAAAACAAAATCTTGGGGGGGAAAAAAAAGGAAATACAGAACCAGAAACACCACCCCCACACCCAAGGAAAAACCCCCAAGACCTCGTGCAGACCGAGGAGGGGCACGGGGAACGTTCTGCGGGTTCTGAGGGGACGGGTGGGAAGGTGCTGCCGGGTGAGGAGCGGGTCGCTCTTCCCCCAAAACCGATCGAAATGGACGCGAATACGTGACCATGTCACTGAATGTAAATTATACCTCAATCTACAAAACCACACTTCCTACATCTAAATCGTTTCCTTGAGAGGGCTTTGGGGGGTTATTTTTCAAGACTATACGGATCTGGATAAATCTCACAAAGAAGGCTGGGCAGAAACAAGCAGATGCAAAACCACCTGAGTTTCTAGTTAATTACAGAAAGGGAACAGCCAGCATTCATCGATGGTGCTCAAAGTGAGAGCAGCGGCCCACTCTGAGGTCGGGGCGAAGGGGGACTTCTGGCGGGGCTGGTGTGTTCTAGATCTTGATTGTGGTTCAGTTTGGCATTTTCATCGGGTTACGCTCCTGACAAAAGCACTTCCTGTACATATGTTACGCCGTAACAGTAAGTGATACAGAAGCAAAGGGGAATGCCCCAGAACACTCTAAAAGTGACTGGAAAAAGGTTTGTTTTGTTTCGCACCTAGTGAAATGTTTGTTTTCAGCTAAACTCTTCAGATACATAACGAGGAAAATTACGACCTTAGTAACTCCATTTGTGGAATTCCTAATATGCCTCGGGAGTTCGATGTCAGGGGGAAAAGCTCATTCAGCAGAGTCATCAGAATAATCTAAATTAAACTCCACCCCCCCAGTGATCTGGTTATGTGCCCTTAACCAGAGCACTCTTCCAAGAGGAACGGGGGGGGGGGGGGGGGGGGGGTGGAATCCACTCTCCACGCCCCTCTTCTACTTTAACAAACAAAGAGAACAAAATCCGGAGGAAGAAGTATTTACTAGGAATCCCACTTCTGAGGGGCAGAGGAGGATGGAGGGAGGAAGAGAAAACAATATCTTAGGCTCCAAGCTTAGCGCGGAACCCAACGCGGGGCTCAATCCCACGACCCTGGCATCGTGACCTGAGCCGAAACCAAGAGCCAGACACTTCATCAACTGAGCCACCTGGGCGCCCTAACTCAAATTCACATATTAAGCTGAGGTGCAGTTTTAAAAAAATAACGAACACGCCGGTTTTGATTTTCAGAGACTTACTGTTTAACAACAGTTCACAAACTCTAGCTGTGGCTCATCTGCATAAAACCAGAAGAAGTCAAAGTGGAGCAATGGATACAAAGAAGAAACAGCCGGTTACAGATCGTCAAATCGGACTACTTAAACGGGCCGAGGAGTAAATCAACATGTGAAGTACTTACAGCCATAATTAACTCAAAGGGGTGCTTGTACACCCTCACCGGTGACTGGTATTTCTGCACCATGACTGGAATTCGACAGCAATGCTCTCCCACCTGCAACACACAAATGTATGTGATTAAAAAAAGAAAGAAAGAAAAAGAAAAACAACCCGTGATACGGGGAAAATGTAAATCTGTGTTTACTCATCAAACCACAGCCCCGGCGTAGAAACAGACCTCAATAGGTCACATCATTGTCAACACACACAGATCAAAAGATGGCACAAAAGATGGTTACACGCGGAAGGAGAAGGTAATGAGACAGCAAGAGAAGGTGAAGGAAGGTCAAGTGTAATGAGGGAACCCCGCCTGGTCAGCCTCTGGGGCCTCTCCAGGGGGTGTCTGGGGGTCTAAGATCCCAGTCCTTTCAGGCCCCGAAATGGGATGCTCTGATTATTAGTCCCCCCTTCATTTTCTCTTCTGCAACTTTTACAACAAGCCAAGTCAAAAGGGGGGCACTTCGGGATATTAAGTCTGGAGACGCACAAACATACCAATGGAAAAAAACACCGCCGTATCTCAAATGATGGGCAACTCGTCCAACGCTAGCTTTGAGGCTCAACTGTTCCTCCCTGTTTTCTAACTGCGTGACTACAATTTCAGAGATGTGTCTTCTAATGGCAGCCACACCAAGCACTCTGGCTAGAGGCTCCCCTGAAATCTCCAGCTACAGATAGCTGTGGGGTCTGTCGGTAATCAATTAAAGTGCTGGAGCCTACTTCTCAGGGGTACGATTCCTACCCGGGCGGTATCAACCTACTGCACTGTTGTGCAAAACACACTTGGGGGGGGTGGGGGGGAGTCCTCTGCCTGACTTTACTTCCCTGCTTAAAAATGAGGAAAAAAAGAAACCCAAAGAGCCTACCTATCCTGCTGAGGCTAATCATTAAGAATGTTACTGCATGCTGGATACCGTGAGGGGATATTCCAAAGTACAAAATGGAATATCCTCAAGGAGCCCGAAGTCTAGCTGCAAAAGAAAAAAAAAAAAGATTACGGAAATGCATTTTATTTCGTTAGATTCCTATCTATATTATTACACTGAAACAGGTCTGGAACTCTCTCCGGCATGTTTGTTTAGCTTATCTCTCCCAAGGAACAGGTTATGTCGGAAAACAGCACTGACAGTCTGAAGACTGCCACACAATTACTCTGGGTGACCTCGCGCACCTCCCCTGACTTCCCTCGGACTCGGTTTCACCCCTGTACAAGAAGGTTTTGAGTGAGATAATCCTGAAAGACGTCCAGCTGTCAAATCATGACACTCAGAGCCCAACTTGGGAATTCTCCGCCTCGCTCCCCTCGCTCCCCTGGCAGCCCGCATTCATCTCCATTCTGGGGCTGGCGGGTCCCGGTGCGCTGGGACCGCGTTCCATTCTGGTTTTGCAAACCTGGCGGTGCTGGTGCACAATTTGCAAACTGGGAACACGGATTTCAGAGCAGCTCCCGGGGACGGGAAGGGCGACCACGCGGTATACAAAGGGACTGCGTGGGGGGGGGGGGGGGGGACTGGGAGACTTAAAAAAGAAGCGCTCGGTTACGATACTCCAACATCCATTCAGGATTCCACTGCCCGGCAGAACCCAAAGTGGCCACGCTGGGGAACCTGCGAATTCACGAGCTTCTGAACTCCTGCCAGTTCCTAGCTTCGGCTGCTCCGGTCCGGAGCAACCTCCTACGTGGGAATCCGGAGTTACGACGGCCAAGGGGCATCCCGGACCAGGGCAGAGCCTCTATTGCATGACAATCGGTGCTTAAAAATTAGCCAATGGCCGGACCCAGGGAGGCCACCGCGCGCAGGCTGAGGGGCAGCCGGGCCCTCGCGCCGGTCCGGGGGCTCCAGCGCGGCGGCCCCCGCGGGCCCCCAGCCCCGACCGGCCCGGGGGGAACGGCGGCCGGGGACGGGCTCGGACCCCAAACTCTGTGTCCCGCAGGGAGGGCTCCCGGAGTGGGAAGGCGGGGGTTGGGGGGCGGCGGGAGCGCCGCCGGGCCGGAGGAAGTCGAGGGGCCGCGAAGGGCCCCGCGACGCCGGGAGGGGTCGGGCCGGGGGCGCGCTCGGAGCCCGCCGCGGCGACGCGCGCCTACCTCTTGTCAGAAAGGCCGGGCCCGGGACGCGGGGCGGCGGGGGGCGCTCATGCCGGCGGCTCCGGGGTGCCGTCGCCGTTCCACTGCCTGCGGTCGCGGCTCCGCCGCCGGTTCCGGGCACTGGAGCGGGAGGCGGGCGCGGGAGGGGCGCGGCGAGGCTCCAGTGGTTGTTACGGGTGATGGGGAGGGCGGGGCCGCGCGGCCGGAAGGGGCGCGCGTGCGCGAGCGCGGCCGGAGGACGGAGGCGGGCGCGACGACCGTTGCTAGGGGCGGGGGAGGAGGGAGACAACCCGGGCCGAGCGGCGCCGCGCAAGCGCCATCTCGGCGGCCGGCGGGCGTGGGCGGAGCTCGGAGCTGGCGCCGGCCCTGACGCACGGCTACTCTCGCAAGAGGCCGCTGGCTCCGCCCTGGTTTCGTCACGGGGCGGGGCTAGGAGGGTGGGCGGGGCTAGGGAGAGGGGCGGGGCTCGCGGGCCGCCGTGGGGGCGGCGGGCGCCGAGGTGCAGCGAGCCGGTCCCTGCCAGGTCAGAGGAAGGCGGCCCTTCCGGCTTTGCGGCTGCCCGGCGCCCGGGCCGGGCCGCTGCTGCGAGACCTGGCCGGCGCCGGAGGTCCGGTGCCTCCTCATTCTTTACGGACTGCTCAGGAGCGGCAGGCCTCCCCCCGCAGCGCCCTGACCGCGTTCCCGCCCAGTAATGCGGCGGAGGCGAGCGCCTGGGCTTGGGAGGGGCTGGGTGGAACCGAGCATCGTCTGGTCGACACGTCCTGGCCGCGCGATGGATGGAACGAACGCGGGGCCGGGTCGGCCCCTGGGGACCTGGAGGGCTGCATTCCGGCGGGACAGCCGCACGTCCAGCTGCAGCTTCAAAGCGCGAGGGTGATGCACGTGGAGACGCGGGTCCTTAAGGGGGTCGCAGGACTGGACCGGGGCACCGCGCACGTCCACCCACGCGGCAACACACAGTTTCTCCGGCGGTGTCACTCCCGCGCCCTTTGCATTAGTCACCCTGGGTGGCTGCACATTGGATGCCGCCACTGCACAGAACATTTCCGGAGCTGCTTTGGAATTTCCTTCAGGGTCAGTTTAGCAGGCACCCAGAGCACCATTTATAACTTGATCACACCCTGTTTTTCTCTGACCATCATTTTCCAACTTGAGCACCCACACTGCTCACCCTACTCAGCTCCGATTGGCTTCGGGCCGTTTGTGAAAATCACATCCACCTTCAAAAGAGGTGCTCAGAAAGAAACATCCCAGGAATGATGAGCAGCACCGGGAGGAGTAAACAGCAGCTCCTATGAAATGGGCTTGTCAAAGACTGACCTGATCTGATAAGCTGTAGGTGTAACCACCAATTTACTGGGAGTAGAGAACAGAGGAACTCGCCCAATGATACCGTGGGGGAAAGAATTGCCCAAGGATCAACTGTCGGAAACACTGCATGACAGACATATTATTTATCGAATGCAGTCTACAGGAAACAAGGGAGGAGGACCTAAAAGAGCCTGGGAGATCCTTGAGCCATACACTTAGGATTTGTAGGCTTTCGTGTCTGTACAGTATACTTCAATTAAAACTTTTCAGAGAGGGGCACCTGGGTGGCTCAGTCACTCAGTTAAGGGTCCTCACCCTGATTTCGGCTCAGCTCATGATCTCACGGTTCGTGGGATCGAGCCCCAAGTCAGGCTCTCCTGCTGGGAATTCAGTCTCTCTTTCTCTTTCTCTTTCTCTGCCCCTCCCTCACTCACACTCCTGCTCACAGGTGCTCTCTCAACCATTAAAAGAAAAAAAACTTTTCAGAGAGAAAAAAAAAAACAACGGATCTGAGACATTGACCAGTTGCAAAATATGAACCTTGTTTCTGTCTTGATTTTCACCAACGAAATAAACTTATGAAACCGGGGAGTTGAAACACTCTGAACATGTAACGGTAACTAAAAAGTTAATTTGGTGTAATAGCTAACATTTTTCAAAGAAGCCCTGCCTTTTAGGGATATACCCTGAAATCTTCTGCAGCAAAATGATGTAGTGTTGGAAATTATTTTCAAAATAACCTAGTTGGGGAGAGGAAGGAGTAAGGGCTTAGATGAAATAAGATGAGTCCCAGGTTGGCACTTGTCCACTGTATGATTCTGTCCGCTTTTGTACATTTTGAAATGACCGATGTTTGAGTTACCATCTTTGAAATGACCAATAACAAAACGTTTTTCACACAGAAAAAGATGGCTTGTCACCACTGCGCCTGGCAAATCAAGACATAATTACAAAAGCGGTATTTTGAAGATGTCTCAAGCAATAGCAGCATCGTTGAGATACATGAAGAGACTCCCAGAAAAATAGTTTGAAGCAAACCCTTGTTTAGATGTATCAATTGTGGTAGATCTGATTGTTTTCAACTCAGTTTTATTGGGCAAAAGTCCAAAAGCCACAAGAAATTCTACGGAGCTACATATTACAGAGTTAAATGAAAAGATCCAGTCTGTCTTTTATAGCACATGTATGCGGAGCCTTTACTATGTGACGGATACCGTGTGAAACATGATGAGTACAGTTGGGAGGGGAAGTGGAGACATGTGGGGGGTCAGATCTGGCTGCCGGTGACCAGGACCCCCAAGTAAAAGTGTCATGACAAAATAGCTTGTGTCCCTCACACGTGAAGGAAGTCCGAGGCTGGTATGGTGCCTCGTTCATTGCTATCAATTGCCGATGCCCCCAAAGGACCACCAGAATCACGTGCTGATGACCCAAGGCGATTAGGTCACCTCCAGCAGGGAAGACCCTGTCTTAACCAGAGTCAGCTTGGAGAGACCCTAAGTGTGTCCGCTGGGAGCAGTTGGGGGGAGGTCGGATGACCATTTCAGAGTATGTGGGTCTCAGCGTAAGTGTTCAAGGCACGTCTCTGAAAGCTGCGACCAAGAAGGACTTGGGCAACTCTGTGATGTAGTTGCTGAGACCTCATGGGCACAATAAGCAGAAGGTCTTGAAGATTCGAGTCCTGCCGAGTAAATGGTTCTCTCGTAAACAAGCTGTTTGCCCAGGTGAGCCATCTTTTGTCCGACGACATTATTTTTTCATGAGTTTCCTGAAGCAAACGGTGAAGCTGTTTATCGGTGTACAGTCTTATCTTCTCCGGGCAGGAATTTTCCAGACAGACAGTCTGTCATGTGGACACAGGAGTCCCAAGAGTTAGGCTGTGTGGATGCAAGGGGCCTCATTTCTTTTTTTTTTTCTTTTTTTTTTTTTATTTCTAGGAGAGAGAGAGACAGCATGAGCAGGGGAGGGTCAGAGAGAGTGAGGGAGTCACAGACTGAAACAGGCTCCAGGCTCTGAGCTGGCAGTCAGCACAGAGCCCGACGCGGGGCTCGAACCCACGAACCACGAGATCATGACCTAAGCGAAAGTCAGACGCTTAACCGACCAAGCCACCCAGGTGCCCCAAGGGGCCTCATTTCTCATCAGCGGAGCCATCAGGTCCTTCCGTCTTGCTGCCTTGTCTTATCTCGATGTTTCCTGCGCCCCCAGCCAGCAAGTAGGAGGAGGGGGGAGGGGATCAAACACCCCTCCTTGACGACACTCTGTGGATGTAATGTGTGTGCGCGCACAGTAGTGTGTGTGACAAGCAAGGCAAAGGGCAGACGGGTGGGATGGCGGGGCGCTAGTGGAGATGATACGACACATCCCCAGTCACCTGCAACAGCATCCCTGCTCTCTTTGCTCAGGCTCTCACGGAAAAGTTGTACCGTGAGAGAATTCCGAGACACCTGGAGTGAGTCCCCGGCCCCAGGAGCATTCTTATTAACAAGTTCCTCCCGTGTTGTCACCTCTCATTTGGTGGACGGAAGCCTTGATGGGGGCCCTGGGACGGAAACCGAAGAGTCCCGAGTCTGGCAGCCACAGAGAGACCCTCTGGTGCCTTTGGGTTGCTTAGCTGGGTGCCCACTAGGAGCTCGAATCTAAAGTGCCTGTTCCGTGTGGCCACGTCTGGCCAATGTGTCAAGATGCGGCATCCCTGGGCTGCTCACACCTATCTGGGCACTGACACTGTGGCTGTTACATCTTCTCCAATGGGATTCACCTGAGCTAGGGACACCGTCACTGTCCCTGTGGCCACGTCTTCTCCGTCGCTCTTAGTGCACCATTCCAAGGAGAGCATGGGAAGCTGGTGACACCGAGAGGTTTTGGGTGTGGTCTAAGGGGAGGGTCATTGCAGGGGAGACGCTGGGAGGCGAGTGACAGTCCCCGCTCAAATTTCAGCCTGCGGAGCCCAAGCTCTTCCCCACAACAGCCAAAGAAACAGGAAATAAGGTCTGAACGATCCCTTTGAATGTGACTAAGAGTCAGGGTCAATTAAGTACCCAGGCTGTGTGACAAGCCCAGTGGCTCTCATTCTCCAGTGGCCCGATCCACCGTGGCGTTTTGTCCTTTACACGTTGGTCAGTCACAGGGACAGGTCAGCCCTCTTCATCGTCTGGAAGAGATTACTTTCTCCTTTGGTGGCAAAAGACAGCCTTGCAAACTATGACAGATTCTCCTGACAAGGGCCATCTGGCGAAGTTTGCAGCCTGGAGAAGTAGGGGGGAGGTAGGTCCCGCCACCCCACCCCCCAGGCACAATTTCCTAAGTGAGCTCTGGCAGTCAGCCAGTGGCCTTGCGCTAATACCATTGCATCATTTCCAACCTGGGAAAACTTGAGGCCCGGAAGTCAGGTCTGCAAAAGTTATCATCTGACCTTACCCATTTATAAAATATTCCCTTTCAATCTGGAGAGGGCAGAGCTCCTGTTTTCTTAATTGGCTTCGCCCGCCGAAGTCTCCCCCCTTCCAGGACACTCTTTAATGCTGCTGGCAGAATATCTGCTCTCAAAACCACAAACGCAAGCTCACCCCTTCGCTCAAAAACTGCACTGACAACAGAAATCAATTTAAGCGTCGAAGCCTGCCGTCCAAGGTCTTCTGTAAATCTTGTCTCTGGCTTTCCTTTGTCCAGAATGATTTTATTTCCATCTCCACCCTGTCTGTTCACTTATTCATCCCTTTGTTAACTAGGCAAACATTTATTCTGCTCCTTAATATATTCAGACACCATCTCAAGCCCAGGAGTGTGGGAAGATACACTATATAAAAGCAGATTTTCTTTCCAGGTGCTCAGCCTACGGCATAGGACAGA